AACGTCTTGCACTACTTATCACCACTGTGTATTCTGTCTATTGTGCTTGGATGTATGTTGGGTGGCTTGGCTTGCTATTGGCTCTAAATCTGTCATTTATTTCAAGCGATGTTCTAATATACTTCCTCAAGAAAAGGATAAATGAGCAAAGTCAATTCAATGCTTCTGAACATAGAGCTGGAATGCAAGGTCAGCCAGATTTCTCTAGTGATGAGCCAATGCACGCTTACTCTGAAAATGGGGCTGGATCGTCTGCGGATCGAAATGCTGGAGTACCTTCAACTAGTGGGGTTGACTCTGATTTACCTTCTGAAGATGAAGTCGTCCGTTTGTTGAACTGCTCTGATCATTACTCAGTATTGGGCCTGACCCGCTATCAGAACATTGATGCCTCACTAGTGAAACGGGAATATAGGAAAAAGGTTATTGCCATTCTCTGATGCTGATACTGGCTTAACTATGTCTTGTTTCTTAGTAGATCTATCTAATATGCTATACTCTTAGTCTTAGGTGTTACAGGACCGTTAGTGATCCTTTGAGCGGTTATCTAGTGCTTATTGTTTTTCTTCTATAAATTTATAACAAACTTTTTGCATCTTGCTGCTGTTGCTTGATAATTTCTTACGTGAATTAGATGTTTATATTGAATGGAGGCAATGTTGGTGCATCCTGATAAAAATATGGGTAGGTGATGAAAAGGCAGCAGAAGCTTTTAAGAAACTTCAAAATGCTTATGAGGTAAGTTTGCTGTTTTTGCTCACTCAGAAAGTCGAGCAAATTCCACCTGAATCTTTTGTACAATCATAATAAATTCCCCAGGTTCTTATGGACTCCTTGAAACGGAAAGCTTATGATGATGAATTGAGGAGGGAGGAGCTTCTGAGTATCTTTCGCAGGTTTCAGACTGCTTCTCAATCTCAAAAGGTATGATGTCTGTATTTAACATAGTGATCAGCATTAAGTTTATGAATATGGCCAGTGGAAATAGTTATGGATATATAGATGACCCTGGAGGGACGGACTCGTTACCATTGTTTATAAATCATAATAGAAATGAAGCATTGCTCCTTTGATATATTACATGTGCTATATAAGAATAGATTAAATGAGAAAAGCAGACATGATTAACTGCTATGCTGTCTTAACAGCAATATTTGTGCAAAGTTTACTAACCTGGAATTGTAACATGAGTACATCAAACATACGGTGGGTATTCAAGCATTTGTATTTCCCACTGAAAGGTTCATCTGATTTTTTTTTTTTTTTTTTAAATTATTCGCTAGGTCTTTGAACTTTACCAACAACTTGAAATGCTTAATCATCTTTCTAGTTTTGGTGCTCATATCTTATCTAACTTTAGCCTGGATGTTTTGGTAGAATGGTAGGCATGGATTCTTCCCTTCAGGATTTGCACGATCAGATGCAGATGGTGATGACCCTTTTGGTGATTCAAGGCGAATATCATGCAAAAAAATGCGGCTGCTTTCATATATGGATACACACAAAAAACAGAAGTCTCGGGCAAGATGGTGCCAGGTTTCCCTTCATCTCCTTAATGGATCCTCTGATACTTATGAATGACTGTTAGTTAAGCATATCAGATTTTTCCACAATATTTACCTTTGTACAGTCACATGTTTTCCTTGTTGAGAAAGCTTTTCTTCTTTTCCCTGGCACAGCACTTATATTTTCCGCCGTGTTGTTTCATTTAAAGGATTGCCAAGATTTTCATCAAGCCAAAGACGGTGATGGATGGGTTGAACAGTTGTCCCAGCCATTTCTTTTTGGATTGCTGCAGAAGGTGAGGGTCAAAGTACCATGTCGGATGGAAAGTCTTGTTATGGGAAGCATTTTGTGGCCTATAGTCTTGCTTTCTGATTTTAACCTTTTCAAAACTAGCATTAAAATGGAATTTTGGCGTCGTTGTTGCATGTATTATTAGTTATGACGTCAGAATATGATATTCTTACTGCTTTTTGCCCTTTTTTTCCCAGGTGGATGTGCCTGCTGCTTATGTGTGTGCTGAAAGCCAGATATATGATGCCACGGAATGGTATACCTGTCAGGTACTGTAGTGGTTACTCCCCCCCCCCCCCATAAAAACCGGGAAAAAATTTTATTTTTATTCATCTTATGATGTGCCGCTTGTCTTTGTTGAAGTAAGCATGAGGAACCTGCCCTTAGAAACTAACTAGAAAGGAAAAAGAACTATGCCCTTAATCTCGGCAAGAATTACTTGTGGCCACCCAACATGGGGATTCATCGTGGCATCCTTGATTGCATTACAGGGCACTCGCTCCAGCCAGCAGATTGGAATGAGGAATGATTTCTTTTGAAGTGCTAAACTAATACTTGGACTGCTTCTTGTCTTCTCATGAAATTGTTTAGTTTACCTTGCTTCCAAGCTTGCGCCTTGAGGTTTATATGGAGATTAAGATATTCACAAGACACTAATACTGAACATATTTGCTGCAGGGTATGAGATGTGCGGCAAATACTCATAAGCCAAGTTTTCATGTAAACACTAGTTTAACATCAAAGCATGGTTCAAGTAAAGGATCACATTCGGGTCAAAGAGGTGGTCGGATGCCAACAATGAATGTGGAGGAAACCATGACAGAAGAGGAGTTTTTTGAGTGGTTACAGAATGCAGCACAGGCAGGCATGTTCGACAATTTTGGTGGCAGCACTGCTGCCGAGAGTCCGTCTAACTCCGGGAGCGGGATGAAAAATCCTGGCAGTAGCGGCAGCAGTGGAAGCGGAAGCAAGAGAAAGAAAAAGGGAAAGAAACAACGATGAGAGCAAAGTCATCTTCTATATCATTGAGGGCAGGACTTGTGGGTACTTTTTAGTCTCGAAGATGGTGGGAAACTCGGAACCCATTGTATAGTGTTATTATCCCCAGTTATATCTGCTGTCCCTTGATTTTCGGGTATTTTGTCCACTGCAATATGATAGCCTTAAGAATAGATGGCATGGCAATGATCCTTTTGCCCTTGATTTTTCCCAGCCAAGTTGCTATACGCTTAAAACCTTCAGAGTTGAACCTCTGAAGAGAGGGTGATAATAGTAAACCCCAAACATCATACTTAGTCTCTTTCTGCTCATGTTCAGAGAAAATGTTGGTGTTATCACCAATCGATGCAGTTAGATCAGCGAAACAGCTTTATATTATTGTCAGAGGACATTTGGAATAGAATAAGAGCAATAGCACACGAGATATTCACAAACTTGCTCTTTTGAAGCTGCTCTCCTAAAATTGTGGTATTAATTGTTGGTGGGTCCAAGCGCAAGGAACAAAATACTTACTATTTACTGACGTTACCCTCCTGCCGCGGGACTTGAAATTTTGGCAGTGTCGCAGTTAAATTTAATCAGCCTATAATGACTGAAAAAATTTCCGAATCTTTTTTAAATTGAGTCTGGATAAGACTTGATGCTTCTTGTTATCTAGGCTAATTTGTTTCATCATATGCCTCTCACGAGTCAAACCAACCACTTAAATTGAATATAATTACGGCTTTTCTTCTACTGAAGATATAATCACAGGTTAGCTATGAAGGATGCGAGAAAGATAATTTTGTAAGAAGCATCACCCATCCATAGATTGAAGAACTATGATACTGTTTTAAAACCTTAATTTAAGATAATCGAAACCCTCAAATAAGCAGTTAAACATGAATATCACTTCTAACTCCATTGCGAGAAAAATGAGTAAATGACCTTTTTGTGTGTGTGTAATTTCTTAGACCGAAGAGTAAATTATTGTTCAAGGTAATCATTCAAATTATCACCAAAAAAAAAAAAGTGATAACTCAACTATCAAAAATCAAAACAAATTTGAAAAATAAAAATTGAAGCTTTAATAGAAAGTAGCCTTACTCCCTGGTGACGCTTCGCGGATATATCACTGCCGCGACTTTTTAGCTGTTTCTCTTGTAAACTTCCTTCATGGAGGTACTCCTACCGACTTCATCTACTGCTTATCTTCCACTGAAGCCTCCAAAGATGATGATGGGCAATGGAGTTAGAGCGATAAATTACAATCCCTGTTCGATATCCGCTGATAGGAATCTTTCATATTCTTCGTTTTCTTTCCTGCCATTTTCTGGGCGTAGGAAATCAGTATCATTGATTGTGGGGCCCTGTAACAGGACAAAAAAGAAGATAGCCACAGCTTCATACCCAAACCCGACGAGGCCACAGGGTTTTTCCCTGAAGCTGTTCTCCTTAAACAGGTTAGTTTCGTACAATTAGAAGCCCACGTTTTGCTATTCTTGTTTCCCAGTTTCATAGTACAGTTTTCCCTATTAGATGACGGATGCTTAGGTTTGGTCGAGAGAACAATGGAACCCTTTGAAAGATTTTCTTAGCTCAGAAAATATCAGTAGAATTGACATGATTCAACCCATCTTCTCTCTTGTGAAAACTTATCTGCGCTCTATTAATTAGATGGAGAATCTCACTAACAAGAGTATGGGTATTGGTTTTTTTTACCCCTCCTTGTTTCTGTTGTTCTCTTTGATAATTCCTTGTTAGACTTGAACAAGATTGGTTTATATCATATTATTATGTCGCCGTAGTGTTTGACTGTTTGTCCACTTGACACTAATGTCTAGCCCGTTTTCATTATGAGTTGATTTTTTTCGATGACAATGAAGTGAAGTTTGTTAATTCCAATTTCAGAAGAAAGTTGAGGAAGACGGGAAGGTCTTCCAGAGTTTGCAGATGCTGAAGAGAGTGAGTGGTCATAATAATTCATTTATTCAATTTCTAGTTGCCTCCATCTTTTATTTAAAGATTTTTATTGATAATGGATACTGTATTGAGCCTTTTGTTCATTTGTTTTAATTTGCAGGACAGCTCTACGAATCTCTGGTGCTTGAGCTGGAAAGTGATCTGGATGTAGATCAAAGTAAGTAGGGCGTTGAATCAATTGTCCGTTCCTTTCTGACTGGAAAAAGGATTAGAGAAGTAATGTTTTATGTTGTCGTTTCTTGTATCTGACCAATGAAGTCACATATCTGTACATGTCAATTCTAAAAATTTTAATGCTTCGATATCAATCATCTTCTATGAAGGTGCAAACAATAAAATGTTTGTTTACTGATTGTTTTATAGATCTCATGAGCATTTAAAGTCATTTCTCTCACAATATTTTGCTTTTTTAATCTTACAGTGCGCCACTATGAGGTTGTTTACTTGATTCACGAGAAGCACGAAGAAGACGTTGCTGCTGTCAATGAGAAGATTCAGAGTACTTTTTCTCTCAATCTTTTTGCGCCCTGTTGCCCAAAGTCCCTGATGCTATGTAGAATTGGTTCCTTAATTTCCCAGATATTTGAGTGATTCATTTTCTGGCCTGGGAATTAGCAAACCTCTCTTCTGGCCTTAGGAGATTTATGAAATTGTTCAGTATATAAGTGAAACATAGATTTTTCATTGTATTAGTTTTCACATAGCTATTTCTGTTGAAAATAGAACAAAAAATATCACAGAATCCCAGTAATAACTAAACCAGGTAGGTCAGATGACATATTTTGAACCACATGGGCAAATTAGTTGCGGGTCTAACTTTAAAGGGGTAAAACTATAATAATATACTTTGCTCAAACTAAGAAAAACTCCTAGATGCATGATATTGTAGGATTGCCAATTTGATGCCTGCATGGCTTTGAGTACATCATAAACACTAAAACTGTTGCATCAATTCCTTAACATTAACCTGGACACAATTACTTGCTGTGTTAGAGATCAACATTGCCTTAATAGCTTGATCTGGTCATCCTCCTCACACTTGTGCAAACACAATTTGCAGACTTTCTAAGGGAGAAAAAGGGCCGAGTGTGGAGGCTCAATGATTGGGGAATGAGACAACTAGCTTACAAGATAAAGAAAGCTGACAGAGCACATTACATTTTGATGAACTTTGAGGTTGATACCAAATACATTAATGAGTTCAAGAGTCTACTGGACCAAGATGAACGAGTCATCCGGCATCTCGTAGTAAAGAGAGACGAGGCTATCACAGAAGATTGCCCTCCTCCTCCGGAATTTCACGCTCTGCGTGCTAATGTTGATGATGAAGGAGGAGAAATTGACGCGGAATATGATGGAGATTATGACGACGATTGGGACGGGGAGGAAGAGATGGATGGCGATGATGGAGACAATATTATCTACATAGATGGTGATGAAGATGTTGAAGCTGATGGCAGAGAATCTAGAGATGAGACATTAACCAACATAAGACAGCCAGAAAGAAGATTGAGAGCTGAGAAAGTAGGCAGGTAGGCAGTGGGTAGGTGTCATTTTGTATCCTAAATTTCTTAGTCTTAGAGCGATTTTACGCATTATGACTTTGCATTTGTAGAGTTTAAAGTAATTAAGATGAGTTTTGTGTTGTTCACCCAAAACTTAAAATCATGAGTTGGCTGTGTTTTCGTCTATAAGCTACGTGCATGCTGATATAATGCTGCTGCACTGATAAATGTCACATACATGAACTTCAAAACTTTTTTGCACCCAACACGTCTATGTTTTCAGTGGTAGAGTTCTAGGACTTCAATAAAGTTAAAATTGAAGTACATTTATGTAATTTGTCCCCCTTTTTTTTTTTTTTTTTAATTCCTTCTTAAGTTCTCATGTTTGCCTGTACTGGAGCAACCATCAGAATTCTATGGAAAAAGAAAATCATTATTTCAGACTAACGATATTAGGATGAAAGGATAAAAACATATTTTTTGAAATTAAGGTACTAAATTTTAACTTTATATAAAATTAAATGATGAAATGTGTACTTTTGTCAAACTTTGCTGGCAACAATCAAATCTAATTTATCTAGTTTTCATTATTCATGCATAATTTTTTTTATAATAAGAATTTTTTTTCGATAGTGTAAACTTCAAGAAAACAACAAAATTGTGATGAATGGTGATGGATGATCAACGTTTTCGAGATAGGAGACCTTTGTTATTATTTAGATTTTAGAGGGTGCAATATAGAAATAGAAGAAACATCTTAGTTCCGAAATGCAGAATAAGTGGAAAAATATCACTCAGAAAAAATTATTTTTTAAATAATAACAAGGAAAAATATTTAGTGACAATAAGGTTCAAAAAAAAAATAAGGAAAAAATATTTAATGACACTTCTAGATTCACCATATCCTTTTTGATTTAATCTCTGCCGTTGTTGTTTTTTCTTTTTTTTAATATAGCATAAGTTTGGAGGAATTACAGTCAATCGTCTTGATACAAAACAAATTAAAAATAACATTGGTAGTGATCTTATGTCTAACTAATAAATTAAAAAGTAGATTTAATGGATCAAGGTTCGAATTTCAACTAAGAAAAATATTTACTTTTAGTATTTGATAGTACCTTGAATAAGATCGTTTCTAATAAGAGGATATTTGTTTTTATTTAAATCTTATAAATGAAAAAAAAAGAGCAGTTTAGTCAATGATTGAATTAAGAATAATGGCGTCTGCTATAACAAGGAAAGAATGATTGATTCCAGGGGCTTAGATTACTTGCAAAAACTGTCCACGCAACACGAAATTTGGGAAGCTAGCTTGGAAAGGTAGTCAGTCAAGGCAGCTAACATAGGCAAACCTAATCTTAGCACAAGAGTCAGAATGAAAGCACGTGAAAATACGTTAAAAATTCCAAACTCATACATTTGACAAACTTGTCGGCGCACTTCCTTGCCCTGAAAAACCATCAATCTCTCTCTCTCTCTCTCCCTATCTGATTCGCCAAAAAGAGATAAATCTTATCTCTTTCACTCTTCTGACATTAAGTTAATGAAAACCTGAACTTGTTAAATTAACGTTGCCATGAGGGTTTTTCCTGAGTGCAGCAGCGTGATCCAACGATTTCTTGTACTGCAAGTTTTCAAATCGTCATGCCCTTTGACACGAACCCACGTCCCATTTTCTTAATCTCACCATCATTATATTACTGTGTGAATACGTTTGAAAATTTTACATATCAGTCTGATGGACTAATCTGTTTTATTATCTCGCCTTTCTTTTCTTTTTGGCCTGGGTCTTTTCAGAGAAACAATAAAAATATAAAGGCGTTTTTGTTTAGTTCAAAACGGAACGCCATTTCACTTGGTTGAAATTATTTCGTCAATCAAATCAACTTAAAACCTGGGAGCAATCTTCATATGGCATGTCCAGAAGGCATTCTTTAGAAAGCATTCACAAAAAGAACACGTAGCAA